AATATACTACAGGAGATATATTATTTAATTGTGGAAGCCAGGAAAGATTTTCTTTTTTCCCCTCTATTTATAGCACTGAAAAATACGTATTAGTCTTTCATGTTCCTTTGAGTGCTAAAGCACTGCAGATACCAGCTATATGGAAAATGGTTTGAGTAATTAGGTCATATTTTTACACACATCAATTATTCTTCGTTGGTCTGTCTGGAAGAAGAGGGAGCTCCAGGAGTAATACACCTTCTCTTGTTCTATGGAGTTAAACTTCTCACTTGGCAAGCCACAATTCTTCCCATTTGCCACTACTACCATATTGATACAAAAAGACTTTTTTGAGGTCTAAAAACCCATGAGTGTCACAATTCAGAAAGATACTGAGATTGGGCAATCAGGGTTTTTTTCACCATTGGCTACAAATAGAGTGTTCCGATTAATATGGTGTCTGCCTATTTGTAGTGATAACTATGGCTTCTCGGAGTCTGAGCTTGTCTGTTAAATTCAGGGCCCACTGATTTCATTAGTGATTGATTTTAATGAAGTTGTGATTACACTCCAGGAGTGTGACCGTCTGAATAATTCCATGCATTCATTACATCCTATATACATGATTGTCCACCTAATTTATTTTGGTGTAAACATATTGACATGAATTAATCCTGGTTTATATGCTTAAATAAAGAATCGGATTGTACATGGTTTTTGAGCTTGTTCAAATGGGAATCAACTTTTTTTTTCCCCTATAGATCACGTGGAAGTAACATAAATTAGAAAATTATTGCTGAAATAGAGAAATAGTCACTGAGCTAGGAGGATGTTTAACTTTGGGAAGAACTAATGTAACACATCCCTCTCTTATTCTGCATGACACTGGCCTTATTAATCAGACAAGCAAGCTTTGAAAACAAACAAACATCCAAACAAAGAATTGCAGAGATAAAGAAAAGCACCCGTTTTCCGTTTAGATTCCCTGACACAGCAGGAAAACAAACCGGGCATGGATTAATAAATGATCACCAGATATGTCACTGAAGAGCCTTGTGTCAACTGCAAATAAAACCAGCCATGTCACGCATCCCGTTAGATGTTCATTAATGGATCACAGTTCTGCTTTTTTGATATAATCATGACAACTGGGCAAGATGCTTAAGGAATTCACTTTTGTTTGGTCAAAGTTTTAAACCTCACTCTTTTGTATGGCTGCCTGTTTTGCAGTTGTTTATTTTTTTTGAACAAACTAAGTATTGGATTGAACTGGAGAAGAGCTACCAGAGAAGCTATATTAGCTGAAGACTTCTTATATTCAATCTTTCTTTATGGCTAATGTTTTCCATTCTTTTCTTCTCTTTGCTTTGGGTTAGTGCCTGTCAGAACACCAGTTCTGTTGTGGACTGCAGTGTTAATGCAAGTTGCCTTGCATAATGCTGACCATTGTCTAGCAAGTTGCCACACCAACTCAGCAGATCAAGGAGACATGCAAATAGGTCAGGAACACACACAGAGGTTTTCTCCTCACCTAAGAGGATAAGAGCTACAGAGGACTAAGGCAGTATGTTCATCATCAGTGGCTATGTACTACAGAAAGCTATTTACATTTAAACTTTGCTAGAAAGCTAACTTCCTTAATCAGTAGAGGGTTGCTGATTGAACACCACAACTTAGCAGCCCCATATAGGTGTCCCAGAGAAATCGTTAGTATCCTTTAAGCTGAGGAAGAGGGGATGGAAATCTTTGGGCTACTAGGCTAAACTCTCTCCGACAAGTTTCGCTGTATGGCTTTAACATGCAGTGTTATGAGCTCCCCAACTGTGAAAAGGTATATTTCAGCCCCTGCTGTAAGGCTTGTTGCCATTTTTAACTAACTAGTGTAAGCCATTTTGAGACACCAGAATGAAGAGTGGCATGAAATGCAAAATACTATTAAATCAATTAATTTCAAAACCAGTATAAATCTGCCTGAAAATATGACCTTAACTGCACTAGCAGTAGATGTTAAAAGAACTTGGCCTGTTCTTGTGCTACCTTTGCGGCTGGAAATCAAGGACTTGGATTTTATTCTCTGCTCTGCCACAAGCTGTCATATGACTTAGGGAAAGTTACTCTTGTCCTGTTTGTTTCCCCTCCCATTGCACAGGTGATCCCCAGGCTCTCTGCAGAGGAAATTAGAAAGAACCCAGCAAGACAACTCATGTTATCTGCTTCTTAGTGCCACAAATAGTAGCGAGATTTGTGCCAACATCAACGATTAGAAGAGGGGAAGGTAATTAGAAACCAACTTGCCTCTAAAGATATAAAATAGACATCTCTAAATTTCGAGAAAGTTTCACTTTTTGAATGGGATTCATGTAGGCTTGACCCCTGCGTAAGCCATACGGCTTGCCCCTTACCCAACAGGGAGGTTGTCAAAACTGTGGTTCTCTCCAAATGGAGGAAACCTGGACCACAATTTTCAAAGTCCCTCCGGTGGTTCAAGGGAGCAAATGACTTTATGCCCAGGGAGAGACCC